AAATGTCAGTGATTCATTGCCTAGAGCAGTGATGGCGAACCAATGAAACGCGAACTCATTTTTTTGGTTGATTTTTCTTTGTTAAATGGCATTTAAATATATGAAACAAATATCAAAAATATAAGTCTTTGTTTTACTATGGTTGCAAATATCACAAAATTTCTATATGTGACACGGCACCAGAGTTAAGTTAGGGTTTTTCAAAATGCTGACACGCCGAGCTCAAAAGGTTCGCCATCACTGTCCTAACATCATGTCTTTATTACACTCTCCTCTCCTGCCTGTAAACAGGTCATCCAACAGATCCATCCACCTCTGGTCTCCAAGCTTCCCATCCTCATTTTCCCCAAATACTCATCTATTTTCCTGTTTTTACTCCCACTATTGTATAGCAACTTATCATTTTTAATATTTTATGGGTGATATAAAATAATAGTTGACTTAATTTGTAAATGTACTTGGCTCTACCTATACTATAGTGTCTTAGATGGCAAACTACTCAAACGTTTGACTAAGGTCATAGAGTCTAAGACAACAAAGTAACTTTCCAATCCTTTTCTGACTACAAAATAATTTGTAAGTAGTCGGCCCTCCTTCCCAATTTTGCATGGCCTTCTTATTTATTACATGTGTACTTCTCAGTTTTTCTTCATCATCAATCTTTCCTAAAAAAGAGTCCATGTGCACTGTCTTTACTTCCTCACCATACATTTTCTGCCACAATTTAATGTGACCTGGCTTTTCCATACCATCCATTGAACTGACTCTCATGAAGATACCCAAGAGATTTTCTCCGATTTAGCATTACAATGGGCACTCCAGTCTACGCCTGCCCTCTTGACCTCTTTGTAACACTTCACAATGGTAACTGATCCTACTTTCTTAAAAAAAAATTTCTTATGAAAATCTTCTATAAATCCTGAGGCCTATACCCCTCCCCCCTTTTAAAGCAATGTCTTTAATTTTAAATTCAACAGGCAATTCTGATGCATTTCCTTAAAACGATCACTCCATACATCCTCTGAGCTTTCTCTCTTTAGTGAGCCCCACACCAAAGCATCTGGTCTAAATCTTCTACCTGAGCTTCAGTTCTGTGCCTCTCTGTATGCCCCTGGAACAGTTCCTTCAGAATGTCTGCAGGTGCTCCTCCCTCAGATTGCAACTATCCTTATTATCTCATCCTGTCCCACCCAAACAAAAGCCCTACAAAAATAAGTTCTAAAAAAATAACAAAAGCGTATGATACTTTTAAAACAGGCAAACAATTTCACGAAATTTCTCTATTCTTTCCCATGATTTCTCTCTGTTTAACACCCAAGAAGACTGGTTATTTTGGAGCAGTAAATTCAGTATTACACGCTCTGGTAGAAATGACCAATAAACAGGGATGCAGACCTGAAGAGGTGGTAATGCTCTCTTTGAAAATGCTGTTGCTCTTAACTTTGGCCTCTATGATAGCCTCCTGTTTTGTCTTTCCTATCTCAGCATTATAGCTTTCATTCACATAATCACTGCACTTTTTTTATTTTTTTTTAAATTTGAATATTTGGGGCCTGCTTTAAACCTTCAGCAACACTCTGGTAACTACAAAATAAAGTTCAATTTCTTTAACATGGTTTAACATGGCATCAAAAAACTTTCATATCTTGCCTTCCTCCTCAAACTTGCCTCATCTTTTTTTACCACTTTCTAATATGCAAGCTGGCCTGGTGCTAACCATATCAAACTACTTGCAGTTTTCAATATTAATCACTCTACTCAGAATTCTCTTCTGTCTTGATCATTCCACTGTATTTCTAGTTTAAGACAGTTTAAATTGATTTTCTTTTTTAAAGACAGTTTAAATTTAACCTAGTCTGTAAATATTTCAAGATATTTTCAAGCCAAAAGAAATTCTAATATGTACAATCATAGCAATTTATGTACATCTTCATCTTTTTAAATAACTGTCTTTCACTTAGAGTTTAAATTCCTTGAGGATAGGTTCATGACTTAATTTTATGGCTCAGTCCTTAATACATTTTACCCAATAATGTGTGTTCAATGAACGCAAAGGTTTTTGAAAGGAAATTAGTTTGCAGACATTGGTTGAGTCCAGCTTTTAGGAGACCTTAAATCTTAAACTAAAAACTTGTCATTGATTCTGCAAACACTGAAACTTCACTTGTGTTTTTTAATCACGGCAGTGATTTTCTTTTTTAAAGGCAAATATTTCATAGCATTTTCTAGATGCCAAGTTCTGTTCTAAGTTTATTTATTAATGTAGTCATGTAACTGTCTTCTCTCTCAGTTTAAAAACCTGAGGCCCAGATTACATATATCTTATCCAAAGTCACACAGTCACTGTAAGTTCTGGGGTTCTTTCCCAGGTAGTCTGCCTTATTGATCTGTCCTGGCTATCACTGTGAGAAAATGTGACATGTGTTGGCATGACTCACAACATTGGGATTCATTAGAAACAGCAGAGGCAGGGAGACTATTAAAAGGGTTTTACTCTGTTAATCCAGGCTCAAAGTAGATTGAAAGGGAAATGATTGGCAAGAATTGGAAGGTTTGTTGATGACTGGACATGTGGGTGATAAAATATGGTGGGAAGAGGAATCAAAGGTAATACCAAGGTTTCCTGTCCAGTCATTAAGAAAATGATGAGTTCGTATGTAAAACAGAATTAAGAAATAAAAAGGAACATTTTGGAGCAGTAAATTTAGTATTACACATTGTGGTAGAAATGTCCAATAAACAAGGATGCAGACCTGAAGAGGTGAGAGGTAACAAGAGTTTTAAAGTGAGCAAAGGAATAGAAACCAGAAACTGAGAATAGAGTCATGATTTTCAATTAATTCTAATAACTCCCCTCCAACAGCATGGTCCATAGATGTTAGTACTTGTTACACACCAAGTGGGTGAAACCATAGTGCTTTAAAGAATAAATTTTGGGAAAGTTCTAGAAGCAATTAATGTAATAATAGATAGGCTGATACAACATATATTTACCTTTACAATCCAATTCATCAGAGCTGTCTCCACAGTCGTTTTCACCATCACATAACTTGCCATGAGGAACGCAGCGACGATTGTAGCAGGGCTTGAAACCTCTTCGACAACTTCTGTTTTCTTAAGAATAAAAATAGAAACACATAATTGACGGTCTTACAGAAAAACTTTTACAGAAGGAAAATCATCAATGAGATCTCATTCATAATGACTGGATTGTGGATCTATAAAATAAGTGCTGAGCAGTGTCAAAGATTTGGATTAGAATATTCATGCGTTATCAAGTAGTTCATTCAGTAAAGAGCCTTTATAATGAAGTATCTTAGCTGCAATGATTCATACTTGAAGGTCTCTTAAAATTATACCCTCATTATTGTTTCTGGCATCAGTCAGCACAGAAATAAACAAATGCCACATATTTTGAATAAATAAATCTCTACCTCCAAAGCAATAAAGACACTCTGACACCTATCTCCTATCTACTTTGCATCCTGCAAGGATTTTATAACAAGAAACAAAAAGTAGCAAAACATATATTCCTGAATCACTGAATCCAAGTCACCTAACTATCCATAAATTTCTCTTAAAGATCATCTAAAACTGTCTACCAGAATTTCCTAAGAAGAACTGCCTCCTGAATTTTATTTACTTTAATGAGAGTCTCCTGATTTGGGGGAGAAGGTAACACTTAATAGTATCTGCCATTTACTGCATACTAATTCTGCGCCAGGCTCTATATTGAACATATGTAAATATATATTTATTTACTTAATGCTCTCAATTAGAGCTAAGTTTGTTTTGTAGCAGGAAACTAAAATAAAGAGAAATAATACACGAGCTCACACTAGTCACACCCCAGGAGGTTTGGGAACAAAGATACAACCTCAGGTATGATTTCAAAGCTTGGAATCTGTATCTGGTGTTGTCAAACTATATAGCCCAAAGAACAATGAAGTCCATCAGCTTGTTTACTTATGACTCTGCAGCTAAGAAAAGTTTTTACACTTAGAAAGGATTGCAAGTTATTTTTTTTTAAATAGAGCACATGTGGCAGGGAGCATATACGTCCCACAAAGCTGGCCCTTAAAAAAAAAAGTTTGCTAATTTCTGCTCAAATAGAATCTGGCTGCTAAGATGAAAGTAATGTAAAAATACATTCTCAAGCTATTAAGTGGAAATTTGTAAGCTGATTATTATTATATTTGATAAGCTTTACTATTTTCATACTGTGTAAGATATGGCTATTCATTCAAGCAAATATGTCATTTGAGGCAAATTACCTAATATTTTAGTTACAGATTAATCATGGACAAATTACATTTGACTATCATTTTCATTGATGGTATGTTATTCTGTAATGTAAAAGTGTGAAAGAACTGCCTGTGAATTTAGCAAGCTCCATCTCCCTCTTGTTTTAACATTACATTGAATATTTAGGTATGTTTATTACCCAAATAATATAACAAAACAGAAAAGTAGAAACCAAATATCGCAATTCCAGATATTGATTCCTAAATTTTACAGAGCATACAACACCAATAGTATTATATTGTAGCACAGAAATAGATCAATTTAGAAATCATCTGAACCAATTCTATAATAACTACGCATGATTGAACAGACACAAATTTCCAGGAAAAACATTGCTGCAATGAAGGCAAATATCAATTGTTTACTAGAATCAAAAAGCCGATCTCTGCTCCCAAGGGTGAGGGAAAGGCTGACTATTAATTGGTGTCACCTACAGAGGCACAGAACTCCATGCTTGATGGAGACCGTGGCTAAAGCAATCAGCCTTTGCACCTAAGAACACTAGCCCTAGGTCAGTCTGGAGGCAAAAATAAAATGGACAAGACTTTGATATAAACCAACATGCTGTTGACTGATGACGAACCTTTGCTCCAAATTTAAACTGCAATATTCACCAATAACTGATATTTCTGATGTACACTTTTAAGAATGTGAACCTGGAACCTACTGCTAAAGATGAGTAACAAGAGAGCTCCAAAGACAGGCTCCAGCCATATTTAAATTTTCTCTTCATGATGGAAAACCGTGAGAAAATTCTTTAATGAATACCATGGCTAATGGACAGGAAATAAGGTGCTCCAGTTTAACCAGGGCAAAGCCAAATCACTTGCCTTAGATCTACATGTTAAAGAAACACATGAAGAAAATCACACATATAAACCGAACGGGGACAACCAACAAAAACGTATAGAAACAATTCCAAACTTCTCTCTGAAAGAATAAATCACCTACTGGACACTCACCACAGTAGAGCAGTTTTTCATCGGATTTATCCTTACAATGAGGAATGCCATCACAGGTAAGTTGGTAGTCAATACACTCTCCATTTCCACATTCAAACTCTGAATAAATGTTGCAGGAGGAGTTTTTAGCTGAAAGGAAAAAGTCAAGGATTTGTGTAATGGCAAATGTTTGTTAACACCTTAACAATTGTTTTCCCTAATCTTAATTATTAAAATAAACTAAAATTGATCTTAATATAAAAATAAGGTAAAAGACAATGGTTCCTGTTGTTTTTATTTAAAAAAATAAAAAGCACACTTTGGGGTTATTTTTCTTTCCCTGTCTTTGTATATTTTTTGGAAGTTCCCTGACTTTTTTTGTTTTTATGCCTATTTGTATATTTTGTTAATTATTTGGTGACTATACATAAATAGAGAGGAGAGACTTAAATGTGGATGACTATATTTATGCATTTTGGTTAGCAGTCTAACCTAAAAATAATTTTTTAAAGAGAGACAGTTAAATGCTCTCTGTATTTACTGAGAATGTTTTTTTGTGTTTTCTTATTGGACTCTACCATATATGACTCTACCATATATTCTTCAGCACATTGAAATTTTCTATTGCATAGAATTCTTATTTTTGAATTCTTAACTTGATTCATCTAACTTAAATCTCATCTAAAACTGGTTTTCCTTCCCAACTAACTTCAGAAGAAATCTCTGTAGCAGCTTCTATCATTCAGAAGTACTGAAATTGCTAAAGCTACTCTCATCAGCCACTTCTTTATCCCTGGTGGGACCAGGGAGCAGGCCGACCCTTCCTGTCACATAGGACCAGCTCCTACTCCATGAAATACACCGAATTCTGTGGGATGAGCTGGACAAGGATAACTTACAAACATGTGCTCTGGATGCTTAAGGGATCCAACTGACCACTGTTATATTGTCCCACTTCTTAACCTCAAGATTTTTCTTATAAATTAAAAGTCTGAGTTTTTATGTCATTTGCCCAATTAGGGAGCATAGGCCAACAGGCACAGAGTACAAAATTAAAACTTTCTACAACTAGTTTTCATCCTTGTAATGCCAGTATCTGGTCCCCGTTTTAGAAAGATCTCTCATATGGAAAATAGACTTATATTTATTCTTAAAAATGGATTTAATGGCCAATTTTAGAAATCCAATTTTTTTATTGTATTATGTGCTCCCTGCTTGCTTGCTTGTACTCACTCAACTACTTGTTGAATAACTGTACAGTGTAATCCAGTCATACTAATTATGTTGGAAGCAATTCAAATTTATTTATGTCTACCAATACAGGAAACTTAATTTAATTTTACAATTTTCTGTCAATTTCTTTTTAAGCTTTATTTCAGGAATATTCCATTAAACAGCCACTAATACTCTTTAATGTTTCCAGAGTCTTATTTCTTTATTATTCTTAGAATTTAATTAACTTAAACAGAATATCTACCTATCTCTTTATCTATCTACCTAACTATCATGTCTTATTGAATTCTTTTAATAATAGTGATGTCCTCTAAATATAGTTTCTTTTTTTTTTCCTTGGTGAAGCCTAAACCTCACTGGTCAGTAGATAAAGTAGATTTTTACTTTAGAGAAAGTAACAAAGAATGGAAAATCTATAAATATTATTAATTCAAAGGAACAAGTGTTAAGAAGGGTATCAACATTGATATATACAATCACTATAGACCACGAACTAATCAAAATTCAGCCACTTACCCAGCTTATTTAGTCTATTTTAAATGCACCCTATTTAATATCTCATTTCCAATGACAACTATTATGATGGAAAATGGCAACTTTACTTTTAAAATAATTATTCTATTGCCAGGCTGGCATGGCTCAGTGGTGAGCATCGACATATGAACCAGGAGGTCACAATTTGATTCCCAGTCAAGGCACATGGCCGGGGTAGGGTGTGCAGGAGGCAGTTGATCAA